TGGTATTTGACCCGCTTTATTCGGGTTTTTTGACTGAAATGGAGGCTTGCATTAGTTTTTTTTTTTTTTAATTTCAAGTCTTTTAAGATTGAAGCACTTCGTGCCAAATTGGAAACAAAGAACACTCAAATTGAACAAAAGGAGAAGGCGTGTGAGCGACTTGAAGCCGAAATAACTGTCGAAAGAAGTCAAGTTACAGACCTTCGCAACAGCAACAGAGTAAATTGCGCTGTTGAAACTATTGGTGGCAGAGCAGTCAATTTTGTTGCTTTTATTTGACCTGTTTCAAAAATTCCTGCGCTCTGCTGTGCGAAGAAATGAATCATGTTGCTGATGAGAACGTTTGCAGAACCTTGAACAAAAGATAAATCAGTTGATGGCACGGATCGATTCTCTCGAAAGTCTTCTACATGATAAGGATGGCGAATTAGAAAAAGCAAAGCAAAAGTTGTTAGCTCATCCTGACGTGCAGAAGGAAGAAGCGTTGCAGTTGCAGATAGACGAAGCTCACAGGTGTACTATTTTCTGCGTACTGTGGGTATGAAGTGCGACAGTTCTGCGTCGAAGCAGATTTGTTTCTGGTACTCTACTCTAATGATTTCAGGGAAAAAGTGCGAATGCAGTCCTTGATTGATGAGCTGCGTCGCAATGCTGAAAAAGAAAAAATGCAACAACTGGAAGCGTTCCAAGCTCGAAATCAGCAGTTAGTGGCAACGATTGAAAGTCTGCAGAAAGAACTAGATGATCGGTTAGTTTTACTGTTGCTACATTTCAAGGACACAGTTGCTCGCAGAGTTTTGAATGATAAAATTCGTTTCGAATATTTCTAGTGACCATCGATTTGAGAGGTAGAAATGCTCAGTCTGACACTTTGATGAGTTACCGTTTCATCGTAGTGCATCTTTATGTTATAGACATAGCTAGCAACCCTTCTATAATTGTTGCAAACAAAGCAACCATTTGGCGCTCACTCTGCTAGTAGTCCCCGCTTCTGTCGTTCAGTTTTCTTTTTCCACTGATCGGATGATAAATGCTGTTCTTTTCGCTACGAACATCGCTCTCTTGTAAAAATCTTGAAGCGCCCTGTCATAACATCCGTCTTGCACAAAAGGAGGGTTGTTGGGAGTTTTTCTCTTCAAGGGTGCTGAGGCCTTCGTAGCCAAAAAAGACAACCATATCTCATTTAATTAAACATTACTTTGTTTGAATTGCTCGCGAGAAATTAGTGGAACGGCTTTAGGCAGGTGCTATTGGAATCTCAAAGTGAAAAAATCGGTGATTTGGACAGGGAACTGTTAACAGCAGAACGACAGTGCAAGGACCGTGTGCCCCAACATTCCAATGACGAAGAGGCATGTGTTCCCATATAAATTATACCATTCTAGCCTTTCTCAGAAAATCGAATTTCATTAAGAGCAGTTAATGACCAGTTATTCATGGGGCGATCAGCTTCTCTGTTCTTGCATATTTCATTTTTTGACTATGGCTGGGCATGGGTATCTTCTCTTCGTCCCATTGCCTCAGCATTTCTCCTACTTCCCAACCCTAAAAGTTTTCAGCTCATAGCTGTCGCCCAAAAAATATTAAAAAAACATTCTGAGTTAGGCCAGCCCTCGCAACTTTTTTCTTAATATTGTATAGCTCGTCCCTTCACTGTGACACGCACTTGTTGAAAAAGTATATGCATTTTGGAAATGTTTTACAAGATCATCCCTCGCCATTCCTTCTCCCCACCCCTCTTAGTGCCTCCTATTAGAAAGTTGAAACTGCTTCTTAGTAGTACTATTAAATTCAAGTTCTCTAACATTCATGGCATTCTGTCATCATCTCTTATTGTGCTTTCCCTCCATATCTACATCACGATTATATCATGCGCCTTTTTGCATTTGCTTACACATGGTTGCACGGCTTCGCGTATTTATTGGTGATTGGTCAGGCTGACACTGATTCGTAGTTCGAACTTTAGCTGGACAGACTTGACGCGTTTCTACCGTAAAGCTTATTTCATTAACAGCAGTAAAATGTATGGTTTTAGCTTTCTGAAGCGAGAAAAGAAATCCAGTCTCTTCTTCGAATGGTACAATCACTAGAAAAAGATAAAGCTTCGCTGATATCGCAGTGCAAGCAGTTTCAGAAGTATCCTTTTAACCGTTTTCCTGAAGTTTCTTTACCTGACACACTGTTTCATTACCAATTCCATCACTGTATTTAACTATTTTGTATGTTTTTAGCAAGCTGGAAGACACACACAAGGATGACAGCACTTCCACAGTTGGTCAGCTTCGACCAGAATATTCGGCGCTCTCAACTGAAAGCTCCCTTAGATCCAGGTCTTTCCGCTTCTCTGCTCCTACCAGTTTGTATTTTCATGCTCATTTCATTATACGAAGATATTTTTCGCCGTATAGGCTTGAAACGCTGTGGTAGCTTTGTAGGGTGGAGGAACTGGAAGAAGCGTTGCGTGAATCGGTGAGTATCACTGCTGAAAGAGAGCTCCATGTGGCACAACAAAAGCAGCTCTGCCAACAGCTTACTGCTCAGGCACGTCATCTTTCATTCGTCGAACTCGAATCACTCCAGTTCTTGATGATGTGAAATCGATTGAGTCCTTTCTGTTTAGTTAACTGAATCTCATCGCGAGTTAAACGAGCTCCGACGCCGCGTGAAAAAATTAACAAGTAGTGAACGAGAGGAGATTTTGCATACACTGGAAGCTGAGAAACGACGACAAATCGAGCAGCTCCTTCAGCTAAAGTTATCCCTCCTAAAATATTCATTTCAGATGTATTTTGTTCATATTCTGCAATTGTGGTATATTTTCAGTTTTTTATTACAGACATGAAGCGTTGGTGGCAGCAATTGCAGAGAAGGATGCCCATATTGCGCTGCTGGAACAGTCCAGGGAACGACCACGTGATGAAATCGAAATGCTGCGCCTTCATAAGGAAAGATTGATGGAAAAATTGAAAGAAGAAAATGAACGCCGTACGCAGCTGATCGCTTCTACCAGTAGAACACATAGTAAGAAATTTTCCATGGTACATTATTTTGCTTTAGTAGGAACGGTGGGTTACTTCGGGCTTGTGTTGGTGCTCTAATTCATGCCCAATGACTAGTCGTTGTTCACTGGTAACTTTTGTTAGTTTTGAAGCTGTTCTACTTTTTTCATTACCGATTAACTCGCCTTTTGGTAAATAATTTGTCTTGCAGAAATTTCAGTGAATTTATCAGCTGTTAAAATCGAAATATTTCAGCAAGTGATCTCTTGGAAGAGGGTAATATTGCGAGAGCAGTACCGGCTGCATCGAGCAGTGCTCAGCGAAGCCTGGCTTTGTCGCAGCACCAAGTCATCACTGATCAGGTTCGTATTCTGAAAGCCACAGCCGTTCTAGGCCCATCCTAATCTCAGAGCGTTTCAGACGCTTTTTTGCAGGAGGATGACGCGGAAGGTATTTGGGCGTAACATATTTGGGGGGGAAAATCCACTGCCATATTTCGTTTCTTCCAGTCATATCAATCAGTTATTGTTCACTTCGCTTCATCGTCCGTACGGGTTTCTTGGCGATTTGAATTCCTGCCATTGTCGGGTGTTTGACGGCTTTCATCGATGCATACATAGTTTAAGTCACCTCGCAGTTTTGTTTTGCTTGCTTGCTTTTGTGTAATATTAAATCTATCTGTTTCTTGAAAAAAATTTTCCAAAGAGTCTGCTAAAGATTCCCTCCTATTCCAAAAAATTTTATGTTTAATAAGTAACTGTAATTTGTTTCGTGGTCATCAGCAACTTTACGGGGCCCTTTAATTCTGAATTTTTTTTTCCGAGGAAAATGCAGTTGCCACTTTTATACACTACATTTGCTTTTACGTAATTTTTACTCCCACCATTAAAAAGTATTTCGAAAAGCATTTGAATTCAGCTTTACACTAAAGAAACTGTGAGCAAATTTACCCGTTAGCGGGGGCATTTTCCATATTTCAGATTTTACCATTTTGATTTAACTCGACTGAATTTTTCGGTGAAGTCACTGTCAGCATCTTACGTTTGTGTAATGAGGGAATGAAGTTATACAGCCTTTATTGTCAGATCAGTCCACATTCATTTATTGTGTAGCTTGTTAATACTGTATTATCTCAAACGAATAAGTAAACAGCGCCGTTTGGCGGAAGAATTCATGAACGATTTTTTTTTTTTTGGAACAGAGAAATTTATGGTGTCGGCACATCGGCTGGTATATCACATTTCGTACTAATGCATCAAA